ATTATTATTATTAATATTATTGTTGTTGTTGTCACCTTTATTATCGATATTATTACCCTATTATTACTAAGTAGGCCTAAGTATCATTATTATTATTATTACTAATTAGTATTACTATTATTATAAAAATAAAAATTATCTTTAATTTATTATTGTATTATTGCTATTATCACCTTCAATATCGTTATTATCACTAATTAGTTATTAAAATTGATATTTAAATATTGTTATTATTACCATACTAGTTTTATTACTATTTGTTAAAATAAATATTACTATTAATGTTGTTGTTGTTATTATCACATTTAATGACTAATTAGTATTATTAATGTAAACATTACTAATTTATTGTCGTTATTGTTGTTTAATATTATTGTTGAAGTAGAATTTTGTGAGTAAACAGAAGACGAACACATTAATAAATAACTCTTTTTAATTCATAGGCAATAGCATTCAAATCTCTTTTTGTAGTGTGGTGGTCCTGTTTTACTAAAACATACTGTGTACTTTATTTCAATCATATATTGAAGAAAAAGGATGCAAAAACTTAGATTTACATTACATAACTTGTGGCCGAGTTGACTTTTGGCCGAGTTGACTTGTGGCCGAGTTGGCAGAAGCCGAAATTTTTGTGGCCGAGTTGATTTGTGGCCGAGTTGGCTTGTGGCCGAGTTGACTTGTGGCCGAGTTGACTGTGGCCGAGTTGATCTGCACCCGGTTCAGCTAGCCAAGGAGGAATTAAATAATATATATTATAAGGGAGGGCTGGCCTAGCGGCCCTTTACTTAGCCTAGGCATATATGAGTTAGTAGCTTAGGATTCATAGAGGCAGGCCCTAGACAACACTATGTCCTAGCCTGCCCTAGTCCTAGTCTCGTAGTAGGAGGAAGGGAGGCAGCTAGACCCAGGAAAATGTATATCGTGCGTGGTAGGTATTGTCTGTAGGCAAAAGGCAAAACTTTTTTTATACATTTTTTTTTTAAATTTAATTTTTAAAAATTATCAAAGAAGGGTGGAAAAAAAAATAAAAACAACATTTTTTTTAATATATTTCTTCATCTGTTTAGTGTCTTATTTTTTCAGAAATTTCCATTTATGTCGTGGCGGCGGTTGTGCTAATTGGCCAAATATCAAATTTTATTTTTATTTGAAATCATCAATTTTAGTGGGCAGCAGGTTCATGAAACAAGGTATAAAAAATGCCTCACCTAAGTAGGTAAATAAAAAAAATCTGTCGGGGGAAAAAATTAGGTCTATATTTATTTTGATGTGCCTGACAAAAGTCTGCTTGACTTGAAGAAAAGGCAGTTGCAACAATTATTACAATTTTGTCCGAAAATTTCTTTGGTTTTTTTTCAAAATTTTTAATTTGTGCCATGTTCTTTAATTTTAACCAATGTCATAACTTTGTCACATTAACTTGTACTGTACACATTTATATGATTGATGGTTACTGGTACTGTAATGAAACTGATAACAAAAATTGTTACACCAATTCTTGTTTGGATGTTATTGCATGACTTCAACTTGTAATATTCTTAAGCAAATTAGGAATTTTTTAAGACTGGTGTAACAATAACCAATGCCTAAATTATAATGTTCTTTTAATAGGTCAAGTACATGAACCAACCATGCAGTATTTTTTTCGTAAGTTAGAGGAAAAGAACCTCTCTGCCGAGGTTGTCCAGATGAAATGGTCACCGAAGATGGACCTAATTGCCCTGGCTAATATACAGGGAGAGGTAATGTTCATAATTAATATTCCCAAATGATTTTTTTAAGGTATCATCTACTGCTACTGTAACCACTTTCAATGTTATCGTTCCCATCTTGACAATAGAATGTAATATTATAAAGAACATTTATCACCATGATGACATCATTTTATATATAGTTAAATTATTTTTTTTAATTTATATAATTTATGATAGGAATATATAATTACAATAAAGGGTAAACATACCTCAAAAGTCATCCCAATTCATATTGCACTCTTTCAAGACCATTGGTGGAAGAAAGAAAGAAAATTATTTTCAAAAGTTAAGTCTGAGAGTGCCATTTCCTTTCATCTAGAGGTGAATCATAAATTTTCTTACCTCTTCCCCAACCATGGTGGGGCTGAGGTTGTATAGACCCTTCATCAATGAAAGTCCCTCCCTGGACCCCTACTTTAAATTTCAACTTCCTAGAACCGCCAGTATAGACCATAAAATGAAAACAATAAAAATTGCAGTAATTACAGTATATAATAATAATGAAAAAAGTACATATTAAAACCAAAAAAAATGCTATTCTTGATGATTAGAGAATGAGTGGGGATTCCTTTGCATCTCATTCTAGAACCTTTTTGACTTGTTTTATAGGTTGTTCTTCATAGACTTCAGTGGCAGAGGGTCTGGTTACTACCAGTGCCTGCAGAGGAAACAAGCAAGATTGTTACAGCATTAGCTTGGCGACCGGATGGCAAAGGTTTTTAATTAGAAGACAATTGTTTTTATCAAAATTTAGAGGCCTAAAAACTTGACATTTTCTATTTATTAATTGGGGTTTTTTTCAGTTGGGTGCAACTTTCTTCTCATCCATATAAAATATGCAGTATATTTGCCATTAACTTACTGCTATTACCATTTACAATGTTTGATTTTACTTAATTTTAAATTCCATGTGGGATTTTTTTTTAAAAAACTTATACACTGCCATAACCAGAGGTGCAGTATAGAAACTTTCTTCACTTGCATTTACTTTATCACTTAATAAGGTATCCTTATTCCAACAGTACTTGCTGTAAGCTATGAAAGTGGCAAAGTCTTTCTCTGTGATGTAGAGAACGCTGCCATTCTGCACAAAATGGAAATGGGGCTCACTGTCAACTGTATGCAGTGGATAAATACAGATGATAAAACCAATAGTTCAAATGGAAATGTAACAGATACTAACCAGGATGCTAATCATCAAGATATCTTCCAAGATAACTCTTACACATACCTCCCCAAGATGGCCCCACTTCCTAAAAGGTACGTCTCACTTGACACCTCTTCGTAAATCACATCTCTATTGTGATTCTGTACATGAATTTATTTCTGTGAATGTAACTGAAATCATTATTAATAAATACCTTATGTGCTTACTTTTCCCTTGCAGTTATACAACTACAAATAGAGGTACAGGAACTGATGTACATGATATTAAGAGGTTACAAGGTCAAGAAAGGTCAGTAATGTATCTATACCCCTAATATCACTAAATATTATAAGAACTGATAATTATCGTTTCAATTGTTTCTTGTGCATTCTTTATAGATTAAACGTATTAGTGGTAGGAATGGCAAGTGGCCGTGTCCAGTTGTATGCCTTTGGTATTGCACCTGTTGGCCATGTTGATCTCAAGGAATATGACAGTGTACTGGTAATTTTTGTTAATTTGAAATTTTTGCTGTATTTTATTTTTTAAGACCATAGGATTATTATTAATAATATTTAATTAATATGGTATTATCATCCTTATTAATATGATTTAATTATTATTACGGTATTATTATCATTATCATCATCCCCATCAATCATCATCATCATTATCACCATCACCATATCATCATCATTGTCTTCATTATTATTTTGTCTTTATTATTATTTTGCCAACAAATAAGAGCAAAAGCTGTTTGTATTCAGCTGTAAAATACACTGGGTAGCATCATAATTAAAAAAAGTCTAAAAACTAGAAGAAAAAAAAAAAAAAATATCAAAAAATATTGGTTGCAATCTTTTGTTTTCATTTTTGTGTAGACACCTAAAGAAATGAAGTCAGTGATGTTGTCATCCGACCTTCATACATTATGGTTGATGATGGAGCAAGTGAACAATGCAACTGATGAGTCTGCTTGTCAAGGCATTCTCTTATCTGTAAGATATTTCTCTGTTATATTTTATCTTGCCATCTTAAAATAATTTGTATTTATTATTGTCATTATTGTTTATCATTTAATGGCAGTGTTGTCACAAGCATCGCAGGAAATTTGTCACAAGCATCGCAGGAAATTTGCATAATTATGGATTATGAATTTTTTGAATGGCCACAAAACATTTTTTGTGAATATTACTGCATGTTGAATTATGATTGTATAGACAGTTGAATTTCACACTGATTCTATGTACTATCACTAATCGCTTTCATTCAGGTCACCGTCGCCTTACACCACGATGAGGTCGTCAGAAAAAAAAAATAATTTGCTTATCCAAATAACATTATTTTAATTGCTAATCCCTAACATTGTAGTCTAAATACACAATGTGGGCCATACTAAGCGATAAATTCTGAGACCCTGACCGATGCTCTGTTGGCAAATTTCTGGAACCACACTGAGCATGACAAGTGACATACCATACGTCATTTTACCGTGTTTACCTGTGGAAAATACTGCATGTCATTAGTGAATAGTTATTAAATTGTTGTTAATGTTTTTCACCTTCCTCATTATAATGATTTTGTTAAAAAATAAAGTTTATTTCTACCTAGTGCAATTCAACACTGTTATCATCTCGACGAATTGAGATAGCCCAGCTTTCTGCCAAATATGGCAAGATTTCTTCATTAATGGAGGTAACATTTTTACTACTTGATTTTCATTTGTTTTTGCTTCAGCTTTTAGCCTCTTCAAGATTTTTCCTGGTTGATTGCCTATTGTAAATTAATACAGTATTTTGTAAGTCTTGCATAGCAAATACCATTAGCTTAATAAAGTAGCCATTTGAATTCATTGATTATGTTGAAGAGGGCACCATGCATAAATATGCTTCTCTGGATATGTGCTGTACAAATAAATATAATACACAATAGAAACTAAATTATATTAAAAACTGAACTACTACAGCACCTAATTCTTTAAATTTGTTTTTAAGAATTGTTATTTCTGATTTATATAAATTAGTATTTAAACCAGACTGTAAAATCAATGTCAGAAGCATGGGAGGACATATTGCTGGAAATGGAGTCTAAGCTGAACAAGTATGCTGAGGTAAGTAAACAAATGAATATTAATTAATTATTTGATTGATTGATGTGCAGTGGGAGTCTCCCGGAATTCAGGGATGGTCTCCAACATACTGCTAAGCAAGCAAGAATCTCACAGAAACTAACCCACCTCCTGCAAATTATGAACTTATTTGATTTAACAGAGCAAGCCTACGCCAGGGACAGTATGCGATGATTTTCTTCAGTTGCTGATGTGGGGTAAATCTTGCCAGGAGCTTCAAGCATTTCTGCTTCATGAGCTGACAGAGAAAGGCCTAAAGAAGCTCGGCCACTCAGTGGAGAATTCATATTGTAACATTCAGAAACTCATCTTAAAGAACCTCCAGAGGTAAGATAATGCTAACTTATAGAGTGTTTATTGCTAGTAAGGCCTCCTTGTGCTTTCAGATTATATTCACAATTGCTATTTGAATTCTTAATATCCTACTTAAACATTGGCTTTTCTGTCTACCTAGTGTTGGTCAAATGCTGCTGTTTCACTTGACAGAGTTGAAGGGGATGTCACTGTGGTACGATAAGTATGGTGTGTTAGGTTTATCACCTGCTTCGGTTCAGGGTAAGATAGATGATTAATTTACATATTTTTATCTTACTTCTCACAATTTTTAAAAAAAGCTCTTTCTATATATTACTTTCTGAGAATAAGATGTTTTTTAAAAACTTCTTTCTTAGAGTTTAAAAGTCATGATGATTTCTTTTTTTTTGCAGATGCTATTATTGCTCTGGGTTCATTCATGCTGAAGGCAAATGAATTACTTCAGTAAGTATAATGTAAGCTGAGTGGCATGTTGTTGAGTGGTATGTTGGTGACTGTACTTGTGTTGTTGGTCAGAGGCAGATCGAGGATGGATCCGCCGAGGAACTTGAGTGGTAGGGCTGGGGGAGGGGGGGGGAGGTCCGCCAAGGGCCCCATTTGGGGTCCAGTGGACTTCGCCCTCTGGAAGCTTTGCATTTACCACTTATCTAAACGATTTTAGACGGTTTAATAAAGGAAGCAAATACACTTTCACCCCTGCTGGATCTTCCCCTGGGTACTGGTGTTGTCTTGGGGAGGATGCAGGATTTGGCTGTAGGGGGGTGCGTGAGAGTCCACACCACCTCAGCCCTACCATGGTTGGGGCTGAGATGTGAACATTTCAAGAATATGGACCTCAGTGTACCTGGAAATTGCACTCTCATACTTTATAAATTCACTATGTTCATAATGATAAAAATAAAATATCAACAATTCAATACAACAATTATTTTTTAATACAGTTTAGGTGGTGCGATTGCACCTTCTGCACTCCCCTGCATCCACCCCAGTTGTCGGTACAGTTGTTCAAGGTACTGGTGTTGACAGTTGGGGTGATGGTTGTGATGACGGTACTGGTGTTGATGGTACTGATAATAAACCAGTTACACTTTTTTCTGATGAATAAAAAGTATAGCCGTGTTAGTCTGATACAGTATAGAACAATATAAAGTAAATGACAGTCAGCACTTTTGAGACTAACAATATAGATTTTATTCTACAGCTTTCGTCTACAGAGTAGACTTCATCAGAAGACTGTGACAGTCGCCTGATGAAGTCCACTTTAATGAAGTCCATTTACTTTATATTGTTCTATACTTTTTTCTGATTAATGTGTAATGTTTTTATTTATTAACAGGGTGATAGATTCTAGTCTTACCAGTTTCAAAGCATTCTTTCGTTGGTTGTATGTGATCATGATGAGGCTGGCGAATGAGACTGTTCCACCAGCTATTAGTAAGGTACGACATTGTGTGATCATGATGAGGCTGCGAATGAGATTGTTGCACAAGTTAGCTATTTAGTAAGGTACAACATTGTGTGATCATGATGAGGCTGGCGAATGAAACTGTTCCACCAGCTATTAGTAAGGTACAACATTTTGTGATCATGATGAGGCTGTTCCACCAGCTATTAATAAGGTACGACATTGTCTGATCATGATGGGCTGCGAAAAAGATTGTTGCACGAGCTGCTATTTAGTAAGGTAGGACATAGTGTGATTATTATGTAGCTGGTGAATGAGGCTATTCCACCAGCTATTAGTAAGGTTGACATGATTATGTTGAGGCTACAAATGAGAATGTTACACTAGCTGTTATTAAGATAGGACATTGTGTGATCATGATGAGGCTGGCAAACGATGCTGTTGTACCACTGCTAATACTAAGGTTTGACAGTGTGTAATCATGGTTAAACTGGCGAATGAAACATTAGGAGGGACTACTACAGATGAAATAGGCTGCATCACCTCTAGTTATAGAATTACCAGTTCAGGGTATTTAAAGTTGCAACAGATATAGTAGGATTAATTTTTGCTCACCAACAGTACAACATTAACATGTGATTGTGGAACTGTAAACCAAGCACAATGGATATTAACTAGCTTTCGTCAATGTTATGATGAAACCGTTCTACATTTAAATAAGCAAGCCAGATGAAACTATTTGTATATATACTACAAGTGATGCTGTAATTTTAATGGATAAAATAAATACATTTTTTTTTAAATTTTCTTTTTAAGTGTGTTATATATTAATAGATTTTATTTTTTTAAATATTTTCACCTTCAGATGAACCAAAAAAATGTCAACTTTGTTGCAGACTTCTTAACTGAAAATTTTACAGATGTAAGTTTATAGTTCATTCTTTTAAAAGAAACGCTCTTTTTTAAAGTTAAAGTATATAGATACAGAGTTACTTAGACAGCCGTGTGATCAATACATAATAAATTTATTATAAAGATATTCAAAAAGTTAGGGGGGTGTCCTGTGAAGCCATGTAAACACTCTGACTGCCAGGGGTTGGAAAATATAGTATTAGCCACCGCCAGACTTTTTAGCAAATTTTAATACTTTTCCAAAACTCGCTGTGATTGTGTATGTGATCAGATTGACATGTAATAAATACAAGAACTACAGTACTACTACTGAGAATAGGTTACATTGAAATAGCGAAACATTTACGGTCCAGACTGAATATAATGTTCAAATTGTTAGTACATTTCGGTAATTACCCCATCTATCAGATTCCGTAAAAAAAACCTGAAACACAGAGATCTCCATGTTTGGCGGGCAGAGTGTTAATTTATTATTGATCATACTACTGTTGCTAGAGAATAATAAAAGAATATTAATGACAAAAATAGAGTAAAATCCCTCATTTGGAATACCCCTATTAAGGATACACTTTTTGGCTGCAAGTTGAGGAAAAACCCCGAACTTTTAAGGGGCACATGTCCCACAGGTGATCTGTTTGTAGGGGTTTCATAATAATAATGGTAATATCAATAAGAATATTACTATGCCATAACACACAGAAGTCAATTTAATCAAAAGTAGCATTTTTAATTTGCATGTATTGTATATTTTCAAACATAAAGAATCCAGAGAACGAAGGGAAGACATCAGGCTTCACACTTGAGCGAGTCGGACAGTACCTTAAGAAGGAGGACTTGCAATTGGTGACAGATGTCTCCAGAAATGACTGGTACTCGTTCATCCAGAGTAGTCCAATCATGCAAGAGAGCCCTCTATTGTATCCACATCAGCCAACGAAATCACTCATCCAACTTCATGAGCAACTACAGACAGCCATAAACACTGCCCTCAATAGACCATCGGTTAGTCAATTTTATCCACACAAACCTTTTCATTACTAATAAATTTTATCAACACTCCTACCAAGTTTCATGTCAATATGCCTTGTAACTGTAATATTTTTAAATTATATTGATAAGCATTATTATATGTATAAATGACAGAATTAACAATTTTTTTTATATTGATTAGAAAGAGAAAAATATTTACGTTATATTGTCTGTTTTGAGCTAATAAACAAACAATTTAATAAATATATTATGAATATAATATATTAAATTTTATTCATATTTTCTTAGACAATTATTGGACAGCACTTGCAGTGTAATAGCATGTTCAAACTGTACAACAGTCCTAAAAAGGAAGATGCGAAGAGATCCTGGCCTGTGTCACAGTAAGATTTCAATATTTTATACAAAATACTGTTAGGTCACAAACCAAAAACAGAACACAATTTACGTAATAAAGATAAGGAAAAAATTATTGATCAGTCGAATATCCATGTACAGTGGTTTATGAATCAACAGATGAATGTGGCTTCTGGTGAGGAAGAAAGGGTGAGAGGAACTTCCAGAAGATCTGGTTAATGAAAGTAATATTAAGTTAATAACACAGATATACACAACAGTGTAAAAAAAAACATGCCAACATTTTGAATTAGTAGGAAATGGGTCTGTTAGCAGTGAATTTTTGCTTCCTCACAGGTATGTGACAGACTGTACCAATTTCTGGGAAACTTAGTTATGTGGTAGGAGAAAAATAAAAAGCATTTCCATACATATTTTTTGACTCGATACAAGATGCATTAAATTTTTCTTAACAGACATTGTGTTGGTTCAAGTCTTATATACATAGTCATGCTACCTCAGCAGGTACCATCTGATTCCTTGTACATTATTCGACAACCAGACCAGGAGGAAAGGTATGTGGTATACTTAAGTAGGTCTCTTCTGTGCTCAGGTTCCCATGAGATATGCCTTTCCCCCCCCCCCCACTCCTGATTAGCACAGGTCCTAATGAGTCACAGCCCCTAAACTGTCTACAGGATTAACTTGCCAAGGATTTAGAATATATATTGTGCTTGCTTTCCATATACCTTGGTCATTTTTAATTTATGTAATTTTTTTCCCTTATTACCAGCATGTCATTTGCTGCCATAATTGTGAAAATCTATTGTATTATCTGCTATTATTATATTTATTTTTATTATTTATTATTAGTTTTTTGCTGAATTTGCAGGTCATCTAAAATTGAGTTCCTCAAACTATGTTTTGGAACGCTTGGGGATTCGAGTCTAAACAGCAGCACCACGTCCACCTCACCAGCCTGCAGCCAGCATCAGGTCCTAGATGCTTGTTTCTACGATGATGAGACGTTGTCTTTGCTACTACATGAAATGAACAGCGAGGGTGAGAACCTGTCCATCCTGTGCCAGCTGAGTTTAAGTGCCTTGATTCGGACTCAACTCTTCATAAAGTTGTCATCAGGAGATGTTGATACAATGCTTCAAAAAGATGTGTATGTTTATATACATTATTTTTGTAGTAGCAGCTTTCTTTTAAGGCTTTTTTAAGAATGGTTAATTTGAATTTGTCATCTATTTCAGAGTTTCTGTTGATGCCGGTATCCATGTTACACAATCACGAAGGCTAGAAAACATGAAGGCTGGAAGGTTTGCTGTTAGTGGCTCAAGAAAGGTCTCCTGTGTGGTATGTCTCGTATATGTCCGGTATAGGATAGATTTTATACATAAATTGTTATATTTAATGCATGTCCCCTTTAAGATTACAGTACTTGATTTGCATAATTTTTACTTATGTGTATAAGTTCCCGTTAAGATGTGAAGAGTAGGTGATTACAGTTCCATAGAGGACACTCATACAGTTTAACATACTAGCAAAGTTCAGATGGTAATGTGCATTTAAAGTTACTAGTACTGTAAATCGTTTTTTTGTTGGTGTTTGCCTTGTGATTGGTGGGTAGGTCAAGATCTTGAACTGTGGCCAGATTTATCAATCTAGAACTCGGTTTAAATTCGTCTTAAGTCCATTTTTTTGCTTAAGTTAGATTTATCAGTATTGCTTTGGCTTAAAAATTGCTTAACACATCACATATGAAATTTCTTTCTCTTTCTTTAGGTTTTCTCTAATTTCCGCCGAGTCAGAATATTTGACATGGAAACAGAAGATGACAATGAAGATGAAAGCTCTGATGCAAGTGTACTAGACACAACAAAGGAAATAAATGAAGAGGAGAATAAAGAGAACATAAGCCTTACAGGCTGACATTTAGACATTTACTGTACTCATGTTTAATAGAGAGCTTTCAATGGCACAATGACGGTAGGATGTAATGATGTCACTAAAAGTTTTTTTGCGCATGCAAGAAAGTTAAGTTCTCGTTGCATGGATTTTAGGACGCAATTTGGCCAAATCTATGTATGCAGAGTGATTCCATTCTAGCGTTGGTCGTTGAAAAAATCAAAAGCTCCTTAATATTAAGGAGTGAACATGGTAGAGTTGCATTGTCTTATTTAAAAAGATTGCTGCCCTTGCTTCTCTTCCCCTGGATTAGTCTGCAAGGAATCAGGGAAAGACCCTACTGCCCACTGTTGTCAAACCACAAATTTGCCATTCCAACTGGAGTCACTGTAGGGGTGGGCCAAGGATTCCCCCCGACAAGAGCAAAGTAGGCGTGGTCGAGCGTAGCTTAGAATGTTTCGAAGGTGGTCTGGGGCTTTGCTTTGGGGGGGTTTCAAAGGCTTGTTTAATAGATTTTAGAGTCTACTAATATGTACAAAATACATATCATTTTTTTTCTCCCCCAACTACAGTATTTTATGGTAGCCTTTCTGTTGTTTTGTACTCGTTGGCTGCATATAATCATCCACCTATGAAAATGGGTATACCGTATGAAGTCTAGTACAGTAATAAAGGACCATTTATTATAAAAACAGTAGATTTATTTTATTGACATATCAGAATGGGAGGAAGGTTTTTATTGTTTACATCCATTTTTTAAAAATAACTTATACATTGCTAAATTTTATATGTGGCAAAGACAAGCCAAACCAGTCACTCCTTGCCAAAAAAAAAATCCAACATTTCGTTATAAAGTTTAAACATACAGCTGTTTAAAGAAAAGTATTTGAGAAATCAGCCTTCAAAATTTATTTTATTTCAGACAGAGACCATCATAAAATCGTTCAAAAATGTTGTTTCAATGTTGAACAGTTGGAAAATAACAATATAGCATGATAAATATATAAAGGTTAGTTTAATGCAATAAAATTTAAAAATATTTTTAAAATACTGACATTCGAGCATGTTTTGTCAGATAAGAAAGCATAATACACACTCCAAGTATTGAAAAGCACGCCACTGCGAGGAGTGACTGGTTTGACTTGTCTTCGCCACATTGTAGAATTGAATCAATCATGTGCAGACTATTAATATTCATTTATTGAATATTAACAGACACTACAGTGAACCATTTGTACAGTCAACTGCAATTTTTAAAGGAAGGCAAAAAAAAACATTGTTTTCTCGTTTAGCAAAATAATATACAAACTTATTTTAAGTCATCAACATTTGGCAGGTTTCACAAAATGCATTATAAAAATGTCTTGCCTAACACTATCCAGTTAATCTACATGGGCTTAGCTTCTTATTGGTTGTGCTAGTATACAGGTAAATTGGCAAATCTGCTCAATCGTATATCCAGTTGCATTTTAAGATGGGCTTTGTCAACTTAACCTGTTACTGTTGACTGCTAGGGTGTAGTACAGAGTCAGCAACTGTTCCTGAAAGAACAAACATCATTATATTAGCTCATGCTTTAATCTTTATTCACTAAATAGAAAAAGAAAAGAATAAAAAAGCCTTATATTTTTATAGAGTACTCAGTTATGCTTGCATTGGTTGATGATACCTCCAGTAAAATACCCTTTGGCACCAAGGGGTGTTCGTTAATTGAAAAATTTATAAAGATCGGGTGTCAGTTTCCAATACCTAGGCCTGGCTGACGGTGGCCAGGCCTAGCTGAATTTACCTTTGATAAAAACAAAAAATTATTTTAATCGCTGGCATTCTTCCACTTAACTAGAAAAAACATGAGTTAAAATAATATTTTGTCAGATCGCAGAATGGTGTTGTTTATATGCGATCATATCTAGCATTAACGATGTCAAAAAGTTGCTGACCCCAACACTCTCTTCCGTCGTCATAAAGACGTGCACTCAATCCGACATCACTTGCGTTAGTAGTTTGTTGTGGTTAGGTTAAACTTGATTTTATTAAGAAAAATATGCGCAATCAGACTTTTTTTACGTCAATAATTGGTCGATGATGACGTCATCAGGGCAAAGACCATTTGTTAATAGTCATTTTGTCGGACTTATTTATGCAGGGTGAGCTATAATGACGTTCCATTAATCCTCTTCAAAGATTTTTTCCAATTTGTAAGATCTGAATTGTTGAGTTGTTAAGTAGGCCTGGTACTTACATTTGTGATATTCATCTCTTGAAAAATGTTCCACAGGGTGGTCTGACCCTCAATAATCTCATCATTCTCGCTGCAAACAATATCAACCTGTGGTACAAAATACAAGATATATTTATTGTCAATTACATTCACATGAAACAAAATCATTTCCCTCAATGCATAAACATCAAATGTTGCTAACCATTTATTTTCCTCGCCCTTTCCGTCTTTTGTTCTTATCAGGGCCAACTTGACCCACCTTTGTGTGGTGATGACAATTTGGCCGATTCCAAACAAAAACAAGTGCATGGTGGATTTTTGTTTAAATATACAGCATTAAAAAGACAATGTGATGCGAACAGTAATAGAATTGAAAAAAAAGTGGCGTGGTTCTGATGGCCCTTTATGAATAAACATTATTAAATGTTCAATCCCTTCTGTGGCTTAGTAGGCGTTTTGCTAACCTTTTCTTTTCCTTGCCCTCCTTTCTTTTGTTCTTAGTTCCATTAGTTTAAACCCAGAAAACTATTAGAGGAGAATAAAATAGCACACTTACTAGGGTATTTTCTTTCAAGGAGAGCTTTTTGATCAGAAACTTCTGCACATGCCTGATAGTTGCACGGCCTGGAACACGTATAAACTTTTTACAAAGTGGCTGAACTTGATTGCATTCGGCAGATGCTCCTGAAAATTCCAATCTCACTGACACTAGGTCATCCACAGGACTATATGACCCAGCTGAGGATCTTTTATTGGGAACTAAAGATAAAAGAATGATGGCTTTTAACAAGTACTGACCTAAACCAAGAGTACACAAATTATTAACTGTTTTGTAAACTGTAACTTGAACGTAGACCTATCAAGTTAGGCCAGGGCCTAAATCTTTGGCAATGGAGTTTAATGATTTTACGTCTTTAAAAGAAATTTTATTCAATAGCCTACTGTATATGACTGAAAAAAAGAGCTATTACCATCTTCATTTGAAGAGGGAGGCAATGGGAGATTGCGAGACTTGTAGAAGGCCTCAAACCTTGCTTGTTCCTCTGAAATGAGAAAATATTTTTTAAAATACATTGAAAATACCAGTTTCTATATTAGAATCAATCACCAAAATATTAAATGTATTCTTACCTTTTGGGATTCGTGGCAACAGCTCATAAATAATATCTTGTTTGGTTCTATCGAACCTGAAATATAAGATAAGGTATCAATTATAAAAGATGATGGTAACAATAAATGATGAAATAAGGCCAAAAGTTCTAGGATCAGTTTTTGTTTTAATATATTTTTCCTCGCTTGTATAAAGTCTGTCTCTTTTACACAGTTTACCCTCCAATTCAAGGCCTCTCTAATTTTGTGAATTCTCTAATTCGAGACAAGGTTTTCAAAATACAAGCTAACATTCTTCAATCTTTAAACAATAAGCATACATTCTAAATATAGGCCCTATACCCTCTACATAAATACCCTTTAAAAATATAACTCGCCTGATATTGCTCAATGGATTTGTCTCATGGATCAAGGCATCACACACTGGACATGTAATACTTCTTTGGACATGGATAACAATACAACTCTTACAAACTATGTAAAGAAAAAGAAAATATAATCATGAAGTTATTAGTGCGATCACTAAAAAAAAAATTCTTTTGATTCGACAATGCAATGTCTTCCGCGCTTTCTTAGCTATGCCCACTTGCTGAACGCACAAACACAATGCACAAGAATGGGTTCCACAGCATGCTGCACAATTTTGTGGAAGCAATCTGGCGCAGCGAGAACAGTTTGGTTTCTCGCTGTGCATTTCGCTTGTGTCCTTGAGCAAGACACTTTTTCTGCATTGCTTCTCTCCACCCAGGAGTATAAATGGGTAACTGGTGGGGTGGATTTCCTGCTGCTGCACCAATATGGCAGCAACACTTAAGCATGTGGACCCAATGAGGGAAAACAAAGTGTTTTGTAACCTAAAGGAGAAGGCGCTATGTAAATATCAAATAACAAATAACGATTTGGTTTGTTTTAACATCGTGACTATTTATTAGATGTGACAAAAATAAATACTGTAATATTGAAAGTTTAAAATGAAGCTATGCACTATATTATCCGATCAGAGTTTTGACATTTTAACTGGCATAATGGATGACATTTTAACTGGCATAATGGATGAATGTGGGCTCACAAGAAGGGACTATTATAATTAAGAGACATTATGTGGAAGTAACTTACGAGTGTGTAGACATTCTGTGACAGTAGTAGCATCGACCATGTAACCACCATGAAGAAAATTATATCCAACCAGAGATAGACAGCTCTGGATTTTGACATTTTAACTGGCATAATGGATGAATGTAGCCTCGCAAGGGACTATTATAATTAAGAGACATTATGTGGAAGCAACTTACAAGTGTGTAGACATTCTGTGACGGTACTAGCATCGACCAAGTAACCTCCACACAGGAAACAGGTGATATACTGATTAATAGATGTCAACTTGACTTGAACGGGCTGTAAAATGCACATCATCATTTATTATATTATATGGTAAAATAAAAGTTGACAATTTACTGTAAACAATTTGTTAATGAACATTAGGAGCGGATCCATAGATGTCCGAAAGGGCCACCCCCCCCCCAAAAAGGAGGCCGATCGAGAGACAATCCACTACCCTGGGAAATATTTGTTTTCGACACACCCAGAAATAACATCGGAGGCATTTTGGGTGATCAATAATTTCTTTTTCTTTCTTTTTTTGTTTTCTTCTTCGTCTCCCTGCCCCCACCCCACAAAGAAAAATCTTCCCCTGAACTTAAAATACAAAAAAAAAAAAAAGTTTACTTACTTCTAATTGCACATGGACTTTAGCAACTTTATATGAGGGCTTTGAATTCACCTTCAAAAATTTCTTTGATTTCAAAGCTTTGTTCTGCTGGTAGTGATGTGCACGATTTATTGCCGATCGAGCTGTTTTATGAACATTTTTCAACCTACTGTAAAATTAACAATAACTGTAAATAATCAAATTAAAGTGCTGCACAAAATGATTTTTTTTTTAAATGAAGTACTACTATTTAGTAAGCGCTGCAGCATTTATCATTTCTTTTTTAAATAAATGTTGTAACTGCACTTAATTGTAAATATGCATAATAAATTAATTAATAAAATACAATTTGCAGGACTTTTACAGGTAGAGTCCTTGATATATTGTATGGTTAATGGTTGTACAGCTGTTTGTTTCTAATATAACAAAGTTGTTTCTAATATAACAAAGTTGTTTCAAACGTCATAGTGCCGGGCACTCACTGCGCCCGACAGTTGTTGGCCGATCGCAATGCCATGACGTATGCGCAACGGATCATTTTTAATGACGATCCCTGCGGAATCAGGATCGTCGTCTGACTGTCGTACGACACAGTGAGGTGCCTGGCTTGTTAGATAATAATTATTGCCTATAACATTTATTTTTATAACTTATTTTTTTATTTTTTATTTTTTTTTTTATTTTTTATTTTTTTTATTGCCTATAACTTTTATTTTTATAACTTTTATTTGTTAGATAATAATTATTGCCTATAACTTTTATTTTTATAACTTATTTTATTTTTTTTATATTTTTATTGCCTATAACTTTTATTTTTATAACTTTTATTTGTTAGATAATAATTATTGCCTATGACTTTTATGGTTTTTAGTAAAGGGTGCTTTTAATGTTTCGTTCCGTAGCCCTACATATGTTAGACCTATATAAAATTGACTTTGTGTTATATTTTAGAGTTAATATACAATATTCTGTAATGATAATGCTAATAAGTCTAGAAAGACAGCTTAAAAGTTGAATTTCATTCATTGGAAAACAAAATACAAACCTACCGCGTGCAGCAGGCATGTTTTCGGAAGTAAATACCATTTTAAACACATGCGCAGATCGATTCGCCAGCAGCGAGTCATCGCCAGCAGCGAGTCGCCAGCACCGAGATGTCACTGCAGCAAAACACTACTGGAGCTAGGTCTAGGCCTTAGCCTAGCTGCCTACAAAAATAGCACAACGTTTGAATTTGTATTGCATCTAGTATTATAATAACCTCGTAATCAATTCTTGATAGTTCAAGCCATGTTCTAAGGATGTTTTCGTCTCGTGGAAAACGGTGCATCGACACATTTTTATTGAACCTTCTACTTTGCTTGCATCCTTCTATAGCACATACACGCCACCCCATGTTGTTTGTTTATCATAATGGGATGATGGAGGATTCGATTTGATTCGATGTGAAAAGCTGTCCTTTATGAAGCGCCAAGTGTTCACTTATTATTCAGCAAAAATAGACATGGTTTTTATTACGTTATTTACTCCATCCGGAGAGGTACAAAAATACAATATTTATACCTCCATGTTTATACATACACGGAAGGCTCACGCATTAGAGGTCTGTCTCACGCTCTCATAATTAAATGTATAGGTCGAATAAAAAATGTCCGGACACATTCCTTAGGGGAGGGGTGTTTAGAACAAAACTGCCTGCAAACATACTTGGCAATGTGACATGTATATTTATATAATACATTATATATTTTATATAATATATAATTTTTTTATATAATAAAGTATTCTATATGATATATAATTTTAATAAAATTTTGTATAGAATATATATTATTATATATATATATATATATATTATATATTGTATATAATATATATTTCTTATTATAACATATAATATTTGGCGCTAATGCACTTTTTTAATTTTTTTAAATTAGTGTTTTTCTCACAGTCACGACCCACAACATATCATTATAAAACACAATTCAACCGCTCACGTACAAGTCACAAAAGTACCTTTTTCAACAAAAATATACCTTTATAAAAAATATTTTATAATATATATATTTTTTAAACATTATATAATTTTTTATATAATATATATTTTTTTCATATATTATAGAATATTATATGTTATGTAAAAAATCATATATATGATATTAAATATTATATAATATGAATAATGTATTAAGTAAATGTAACGTAAAAAACCATGTCTATTTTTGCTAAACAATAGGTGAACACTTGGCGCCTCATAGCGCGCATCATCATGCACGCACATAAAGCTGAGAGCAGCTCGAGAGATAGAAGTTTGTTCCACACAGTTTTGCTTATTACCCAGAAAAGATGGTTGACTCCCGGTCTAATAAAAATGAGTTTATATATTTGCCACAGTCATCTCAAATGCCACCAGAGCTCTACGACTGGGAGCCAGTGCAACAAAAGGGTTTTAAAGAGAAGTTCGTCGAAAAAGTGATGGCGAACCCATTTGTACCAATCGGTAGGCCTAGCCTAGGGCTTAGGCCTTTTTTAATTGTTAAGCCTAGGCTAGGCTTAGGCCTATGTAGGGCCCTAGGCTAGATAGAGTAGGCCTAGCCTAGGACTAGGTCCTAGAGTAAAGAGGAGGCCGCCTAGGTAGGTCCTAGCTAGCTAGGCTTAGTCCTCTGTCTAGGAACTACAGACAGTACCTTAGTCAGACAAACACCAAGGCTGGGCAAGCTGGAAACCTGGCTATCGGGTAGTAGCAGGTCAAAACGGCAATAGGCCTAATCCAAAAACGGCAATGACCAAAACGACAATAACCAAAACGGCAATGAACCAAAAGGGCAATGACAAATGCCAAAATGGCATAGACCAGGAAAAGGAGCGAAATCAATGCCAGCGGGCACGGGCTGCAGTTATTATAATTTTCTGAATCGTTTTGAAATCGTCCCGATAGGCAAATTGAATATTCCCATGGGCTCTTTTTCCCACTTTTAATATTATTATTATTATTATCATTATTTTTACTTTTATGACATAAATTGTTTAGCCTCATTTTGTCTGTATTTGAAAATTTTATTTGTTTTATGTTTTACTGCTTTTATATTGTTTCCCCCCCCCCAATCTTTTTAATATTGAATTTGTATGACGGACTATTTTCATTATTATTATTTTTATTGTTAATGATATTATTGCTGCTGCTCTTTAGCCTCATTTTTACTGTATTTAATTGTAGAACACTTTCATGTTTATAATTACAGTAGTTCATTTTTTCGCGTTTTTACTTTTATGACATAAATTGTTTAGCATCGTTTCAGTCTTGCCGTTTTGATTTATTGCCATTTTGGTCTATTGCCGTTGAGGTCAAAAAGTGTTGCCGTTTTGGTTTTTTGCCATTTTGGTCTTTTGATGTTTTGGTCATTGCCGTTTTGACTTATTGCCATTTTGGTCTATTGCCGTTTTTTCCAGAAACCGGCTATTGAGTAGCCTAACTGGCCAGTTTATGCGTGCATTTTTTTAGGCCTAGGCCTAGTTATATCTTCTCTAGACATCAAATTACAATTTCACTAGAGTTACCAACCAAAGAGATATTCGTATCTTGATAAATTTTGCCTTGTCTAGGCCTACTCCATCATTGGGCCTACTGAAACTGTTTATACTTCAATTATTATAGAGAGAGCGTATCATTCTATTACTTATTTATCATTATCAAAAATGATGTGATATTTCCTAATTTTTCTCTCTAATGTAGGATGCTGGATAAAAATATGATTAATTAATACACTTGTAATTTGATTTTTTTGATCGGGTAGTATTTCTTGCATTTGTGTACTGTATAGCATTCGGGTGATTCTGTTTCATTTTGGAAATTTGTCGGGCCTGTACAGTCTCAGTAGTTCTACCCCATTTGGTGCTGTTTTCAGCATCGATGAGGAGCTCTAGTCTAGAAACACTCGACTGAGTGATTAATACTGAGCGCTGTTTGATTAATAGATCTTTTTTGAGCTTTTTTTTAGCTCCAATGAGGGCGAGCTGAGCTGGCTGATTGATTAATAGATCTTTATTTTGTGGGCGGCTGTTAGGGTCCATATACTCTACTGCCTCTATTATACTGCTCTCATTGGATCTTTTGAGATTACAAAAACTTGTTATATTATACCTTGTCCCAATGCCTTAAATTGTCTGTAAACGATGCAGTGATATTCTGTGTGGTGTTCCTTTTCTGGTAGCTTTAAGGTTCACAGTGATTTTTTTGGTTCCTTTCCTTTTGTAGCGCCTTCAGCAAACTACTACAGTGGATATGTCAACTTTATAAATATTATTATTACACATTTTAATAGTTTAATGAAACATCTGATTTCTTGCAGGATGTGGGGCCACTGTCATTGCACTGACACTTGGATTGGTACAGTTTAATAAAGGCCAAACAAGAAATTCACAGTTAATGATGCGTTTCCGTGTCGGTGCACAAGCATTTACGATAGGAGCTGTATTATTGGGTGTCGCTCTTCAAGCCACAAAGTCCAACAAGGAATCAAAGTAGAGGAGTCTTGGCACGCTGGCTAATTATTTGACCGATGTCTGGAAATACTAGAGAATTTTGTGTTCCATTTCTACTTTGGGTATTTGTGGCTACACTAAGCATGTTTATGCTGAGAGGATTGTGTTGGTTAATCTGTAAGCATTAGCAGCCACACAAGAAACTGAGATTAAATGATAGCTTTATTCTGTGTCGTATCTACACTAGGAGTATTGAAATGGTGCTGATTGGAGGGGTACTATTTAGAAGTGAAGAAGAGGAAAATGAGATAGATGAAGTGATATAGGGTGATTTTTTTTAGCTCAAGTAAATTTCTGGTAATGGCCTGTGATTGCAAACTTTTTCTGGGGGAATTCCACTGGCAATGCTTGGTGTCAGTTGTCAATCTGTGGGCCTACACACACCTGTTTTTTGTGATAAAATAACAGTGCAGTTGAAGGTACTGTACAGTAATAGAAATATGTGTCTTCGAAGCAATTGCTATAATTGTACAGTAATACAATTATTAGTTTCCTTCTCATAGGATGTATGTTACAGTAAGTATGTTTTGCAATGAGGTTTTATTCAGAAATGTTATTCTGATAAATGTCTAATCAACATTATAATTTATTTTTAAAAAATAGATACTGCACATAATTATATAATTATGCATTATGATTTTTACAAAATATATAGATAATTAAAATGTATGTACAGTATATAGACCATTTTCGAAAATTTGAAATGAAAATTTCCGATAACCTGGCAACTACCATTGGAGGACTTTCAGAGGCCTAGCATTTCACTCTACGTATTTACAAATCATGGATTAAATCAACGATAAAAGTAAATTACGAATGAGCACAAATATTTTAAAACGGAAAAAACTGGAAATGTTTATATTAAAAACAGGTCTATTTCAATGTTTACATATACAGTAGTTAAAGTAATTTATTTGTATCTGTTGTCTACTGCGCTATCCGCTGCGCGGTGCTCTATTTGTAACTGGCCAGCTGTTCAGGCTAGGCTGCTGGAAGTCCCCCAGTCAGTTTCAAAATAAATCTGACAAAATGGTCTATACATGAAGTTAATAACCTTACATTTATGCAGTTAACATTTCTACTTTAGTGTAATGTGATGTATTTACATTAATCAGTTTATACATAACAATATAATGAGAACACATAGACAATACAATGTATATTTTTTATTTCTTTATTTTTCCATTAAAATTATGTGTACAACATCAATGACCACCATTAGTTATCATAAATATATCATTAACAAAAATAATACACGACATTTATAAAAGGATGAATCCATTCTGCTGAATACAACTTTAGATATAAATACAATATTGAATACAATTGCAATTCACTAGATGGAATACAATTATAACACACTATTGTTTCTTGGTAACAAATCATTTTACCCTGCGAACAAATAACATCTGTAAGTTATTGTAACATGTGCTGTACAGGGTCACAATATTTTACAGTATGTAACAAACAGAAACAAAAAAAAATAGATAGTTTGGCCTTTAAATGGGAATAGGTTCAATGTATTTCATAATCAGAGTCTATTATCTTTTCATCAAACAGCAAGTTACAATAACCGTTACTGGGCGGAATAAATATAGAATATACAGTGGTGGTGGGGAACCCCATAAATTTTTAAAACTTGTACAAAAAATCGAGAAAAAAAGAATATTCAAGTTTGAGAGTGCCATTTCTGGCCATCCAGGGGTGTTTTCTTACCACAGCCCCAACCATGGTGGTGCTGAGGCAGTATAGATCCCCCTCTGATATATAAATATGAGGGACAGTGGCTTGGCCTAATAATTGATGATAACAAATACTATATGCTTCAATAAGAAAATACAGTATAGTGGAAAACAAGTTATTTTTCAGAAATTATATTCACTAATTTCAGAGTTTGTAAAGTAGACTAAAAAAGTAGAAAATAATTAAAGATTTCTTTGTTGTGTAACTACAGTATTAAGAATGTGGATAAAAGTGTAATTACGTTATTAACTTAATTAATCCATTGGTTTAAAATTCCACAAATGTGAATAAATGTTAAAACAGGAGGCCTTTTTTTTGCTACTATTATTTACTCTGTCTTTATTTTGTTTATAGGCCCTAAGGTTTTAACTTTCCTGCCCAAAAAGTTTTACTTTCATTCCACATCTTGTGACCATTTATGCCTGTGTCTTCATTTCAAAATTTGATGCTTATTACTGGAAGACAAAAATGAATGAACATAGTGAAGCTGACTTTTGGGCAAGTCTATAAGTTAAAGGGTGCAAATGGCAAACATTGGTTTTTAACAGCAGTACTATAAAAAAAAAAAATAGTTATTTGTTTATACAGTGCCAGACTGCATAATTAGGTGAACTGTTTTATCATCTACCTTACACTCAATAAGTGAAAATATTACTGCTCATTTTTACAGTTCAGTAGGTTTTATACCCTGAAGAATACATACTTTTGACAATACAGTATGAACATATACTTAAAACAAATCTGTCGCTTATACCTGTGTTATGGCTGAATCTACTTTGTATTGTATAAAGATTCCTGGATTACATTGTATTTTAAAAATATAAAAGTCAATATTTGTGTGTATTAAATCAGCAGTAGCCTAGTTTCTTGGAATGCTACTTCCTACCAGGACTGTCTCTTATACACAGTCATAAGCAAATAATTGTACAATAAATAAAGCCATCTCAGCACTAATAAAATTTACACACTTTGAGCACAATATGATCAATACTATATACACATATGCAAGTATGATTGTAAAATATTAGAGCATAAATGACTAGTGATGGTACACTTGCACATAATACATGTAGGGGTATGTGTTGTGCATGGCTATGCACCAAAAATCTGATAAACACAAGATAGCGTTCTCCACGATTTTCGTGTAACAAATAGAAGCGTAGATTTGGGAGAGGGCGTCCTAGTCGTTGCTATGGATCTGAGATAGGGTGTTTGCGTTACGCCATAAGTTCGTTACCAAGTACGTTAATTTGTTCCAATTGTAAATCGGACGCTTCTAATTGTTACGCATAAACGTAAAGTTGCACTGCGTACGGTATGGTCAAGGGTCAAAAGTTTCCAATTTAGCAAGAGGGCGCCATTCATGCCTTATTACAGATTTTGCACGCGTAAATCGCGGAGAACGCTATCTTGTGTTTATAAGATTTTTGCTATGCACATGTGTGTGAGGGAGGGTGTGGTGTGTGGGCATGTATGTATCTATGTGCATGGTTATGCACTTGACATCTAAAACTGCAGTTTGTTGATTGTTTTCTTACTGACAACAAATTTTTACAGATGACCAGTGTCGGGATGTAAAAAACAAGGCGTTTTCTAGCCAGTGTTACTTGGCGGGCCACACACATAGGGTTTTTAATTCATTTTCGCGGGCCACAAATAAATCACTGTAGGGGCACACTTTGCCCACCTGTGCTTTAAAAGAATGCAAGCTGTAGTCAATAGGCTACTTCATAGTTTGAACTGTGAATGCCTGTATCAAAGGCCAATCGAAAAAACATTTAACACTCGCATACTGTTTATGTTGGCTTATTATTACCCTTCTCTACACATACTGTACAAGAAACATGAACTATTTATGCTTTAACACCCTGAGAACTCAGAGGGAAGTGTAAATATGCATCTTTTCATTTAAGATTTTGGTAGCATTTCCAGTAATTCCTTCACTTTGTTCACACCCTGCACTTCTCCTCCAATCGGTACTTGCGTCTCTAATGGGTAAATCGCTCGATCTCCTAGGTTCAATTCCAGCACACGCTGAAGATTGTCTACAGACATGGCACCTTCTTTGTCCTAAAAAAAAACACCAAATAAATTAGCTTAATATCTACACTATCAAATTTTATTTGACAAAAAACTGTTGTATGCCCATACATAGTCATGATGTGCCTATATAGGTATGTGGTCATGATGTGATGTTGTCATGACCATATCTAGGCATGTCATATTTTTTGTCAAATAAAATTTGATAGTCTTGTTGTATGATATTTGTTTCAAAAATCAAGATATAAAAAACAATTAAAACATTGCAGCAAAGAAGCTGATTTGAGTTTCAAATTTACAAGCAGCAAAAAATAATCATCCAAATAAAAAAAAAAACAGAATACAAGAACATCAGTAAAATTCTAATCATTTAACATTCATTCATTCAAATTCTTTTAGACCAAGCTAAAGACTTCCTTTTTCATTAATTTAACATTGCACCCTTAATCTGTTTTTTATGTACAGCACATAGGGCTTGCTTATATGCGCTATATAAGAACAAACTATTATTATTTATCATTATTATTATCATTCTCGTCTGGACAGGATCTAAATTAATGTCTACTTCTTTTTAACAGTTCCACAGGGGTGGGCATAAAAATCGGTCGGAGGGCCAAAGTGAATTTTTGTTTTAACACCGAGGACAACATCCAAATTTGATTGTTCCAGTGTGCTTCCCAAAACCTTCATGAACTGCTTTTATACCATTTATTCTCAGTTTTAATATTACTTTTTATAGATGGTCGGTGTTGGGCCGTAAAAAACAAGGTGTTTTCTAGAAAAAAAATGGTTGGCGGGCAGCACACAAAGGGCTTTTAATTTGTATTCGCGGGCCGCAAAAAAATTACTGTCAGGCCGCACTTTAGGGTATGAAACACATGCATTCCCAAGCTATTCTTTAACTTATATAGATGCCCAGAAATGTGTTCTTTGATACAAAAAATTAAGCACAGTATCCTATTACGTAATGCTTAGGAAACAATTGTTACCTGTTTATTGGCTACCAGTATCAAAGGAACATTCTTTAACCGTTTATCAGTTATTAATTTCTGCAGTTCAGTTTTGGCTTCACCTAATCGTTCCTTGTCAGATGCATCAACAACAAACATTAGTACTTGCGTCCCTTGGATGAAGTTCGACCAATACGAGCGTACATTCTCAGTGCCTCCAACTATTTGATGTGTTGACATGTTAGAAAGAAGAAAATAAAACCAATGATAACATGAATTATTATTATTACCAGTAGCTTTTTATGATATAGAGTACACACGTTATGCAACCAAACCATAAATGAGTTGGGTCTTCAAGCTGTTTTATAATGCAGGGGTACATTAACACAAAGGCAGGGGTTCAAGTCTCTCCTCACAATGGTTTGGTTGATAGTTTTCTTGAATAACCTACTGTACACAAACTTAAATCGTGTGAACTATAAAGAACTCAGTCCTTTGAAAATTACATTTACTTATTACCTCAGTGATCTTGTTCGGCCTCTTCTGTGGACTAGATAGGCAGTAAATCTGATACGCTGGGACCAAATGATTTGTAAACCAAGAAACTTGTGTGTAAATCAATATTAATAAACTTAATTTTAAACTGATGGTTTGGCGAGCTCAGTGTAACATCAACACAAACACACATTTGACATACAAATGACATGGCTACAGTACTGTATCTTTATATGTCTACAATGTATACCAATATTGATTATCACCAACCTTCCCAGATATTCAGTGTCACACTTTCTGTCTGAATACACATAACATTGAAGCCCTCTGTTGGTTTGGTATCATCAGGAGCCTGCAAGCTGTTGAGACATCCTAACAATGTGCTCTTCCCTGCACCATCTAAGCCAAGAACAAGAATTCTTTTTTCCCCTTCCTCAATATCCTGCAGGAATATAATATACACATATTTTTGATGAATTAATTTCTGGATGTTTTGGATTGGGGTGAAAAAGTTCAGGTTACATCACCTCTCTATATGCCCCAAAATAGCACTCCTTCGGGACAGCTGTCTCTAGGTTAGAAGATTAGGCCATGTAAAATAAAACAATTGGTTAGCATCCTTATGTTATCAATTTTCATGGTAGGGAGGGAGGTTTTTTTTTTTTTTTTTTTTTTTTTTTTGCATCGAACATGAAAAGAGTTTCGCAAGGAAAAACAGCAAAAAAAGAAGAATAAAACAACAGAGACCAAAATTACATACAAGCATCTATAGCAAGCAGAAACTTTACCAATGAATAATAGCGTCATAATGCAATTATCTCTATGTATTATCATGCACAATTCACTCCTCAACAAAACAGGCATCATGGATACCATATGTGGCTACAGTATAGGCCAACTGCAAGTGGACTGGCTAGTGTGCGGACGGGTGGTAAACAAACCTATATTAAATTGAGTTTGTGAGTGTATTGTAAAAAAAAAAAAAAAAATCGGGTCGGTGGCCTTTTTTATGGTAGGGAGGGGATGCTAACCAATTATTTTATTTTACATGGCCTTATAATTAAAATTTTCCCCGATATACTTTACCACGGATCCCCAACAAAGGCTGGGCCAGGCGGTAGTGAGTCCATATTTTGCCTACGTGCTGCCGCCACCCTGCCCTGGCAACCATCTGCTATGAAGGGGTTAAAACTTGAGGTATAGGCCTACCCATTTGTAGTAGTAGCCAGGTATAGTGGTGGGACTAAGGCCTACAGCAGATAAGCAGGCTGGCACTATCTGATGTGATGACAACCCATCCCAACCATCCATCCATGCCATGGTTGAAACATGGAGTTAAAACTACTGTATTATGGTAATTATAAATAACTTCATGACCCATCCATGTATCCTTACTACAGGAGTAGCAGAAATCATAAAACAATGCCCTTGGCCTAGTAGATTATAACTTAGGCCTACAGGCTATAGCACCACACGGGTTTGACCTACAGGTTTCACCTTGGTCAATGCCATCTAATTCGGGTCTTTATCAGAATCTAAACCAGAGGAGCACTCAGGCCGGTGGCCTAGGCTAGCCAAAAAAAACTAAAATTTATTTTATATTACTTCAATATTCTTGAGAGATTCCATATTAATTCCACCACATGCTAGGTTCCTACGCCTTTGAATTTCAAACACACTATACGTAGCCCCAGCTACTAAAGCGCCTGTTCCCAAAATTACAGCAGTTTTTCGAAAGAAACTCAAGTCACGAAACCACGAATTGAAAGCCATTTTCAATAATAAAGTACTTACTGTACTGTTTTTTTACGATAACAAAAGGCTGCCCTCAACGATAGTATTTGCTTGGCCGCCGGTCTCTGTTGTGTCATGTTGTTTTTGTTGTGATATGTCATCCATCTAGGCTTAACCATAAAGAAAGATTTTAACGTTTGGTATGGAATTTTAATTCACCTTAATACTTATATTTAGATGATAACATGATCTTAAATTGAGTGAGTAGATAAAGGTAGGGAGATAGGCCTAGCCCTATCATAATCTAGCTAGGCCTAGGCCTACTACGACGTGCTTCCCCTACCCTAGCCTAGTAGAGGCCTAGGCCTGATTTAGGTGTTAGGCCCTATCTAGCCTAGGTAAGCTAGATACGGTTTAAGCAATTTTTGTGTGGTGTGAATTCAATCAGACTCAATTAAATTTCAAATATCTTTCAGAAATATAATTTAACATCAAGTGTGAAGGGCGAAATGAGATGGAGCCCAAGCGTGTAAAATCATCAGGATTACGAATTCCTGTACCTCGACCAGAACGCTACGAATGGGAAGAGATAAGCAACTCTCCACCGCCCTCAACTCAAAACATTCTTCAGCTGTTTGACACCAGTACCATTGTGCGAGATCATCCTCGAAAATATCAGCACTTACTTGCCCAAGAAGAAGTGGTAGATGAAAATCCACAACCAGAGAGGTACATTGGCAAACAGTCAAGGAGTGCCTCTGTCCAATTGTTCAGTAGTCCGTCATCGATCAAGAAAACTAGTTCGTTAGTTGACTTGAAGAAATTCTTTCAACAAGATCATACACAACAAGATAACAATGTGAAATTACAAGAGAAAGCTCCATTGGATCCAAACATCATGACAATCAAGGATACATTTCAGACAGACAAGAATAATTCTGCAGGCCTGTCAGCAATTGCCCAGAAGTATGATGGTTTCCCTAGACTATCAGGGCTCCAAGGTTGAAAGTGTTTTTTTTTTCCCAGATTTCTCCTTTTCACACGACAGTGCAGTACTATTTTATAATTATATCTTTTCTCCTGTGTCCTGTTCTAAAGAGTAAACCCTTATTTCGTCTGCTTTTACTGGATATGCTCTCTTATTATTATCATTCCATTATTTAAGAATATTTGCATTATATTATAGTAGTACCCAGAAACAATATTTCACTGAATTTTAATCTTTTAATTTCAAATATATTTTATTAGGGTTCTTTTTTTTGTGTAAAACACATCAATTAAACCCAAAAAAGTTTGAAGATTTATTTCCAGTGAGGTCTTTCTGGTAGTTAATTGGGCAGTACACTGGGAGACCTCCTTTAATGAACATGGGCACTATATTGCACACAAGGTTAATGACTTCATCATTTTATCTGAAAGATGGTGCGATACTGTAACTTGAATTTTAGCCGTCTAGCTGGAATAAAAAGAAGGCAGGAATAGCACCGAACCATGGGTCAAAAATGATCTCATCGGTTCATTGCACCACCAGTGTAGCCAATTGAGATCTAGCCTGTTTTTTTTTGTATATCATAAACTTTATATTCAGATTTTATAATAAAGATAACTGTCAGTTCTGAACTTATTGAAAAATAAGATTCAATATTTTTTATTGTTTTATTTTAAATGTTCATTTTATTTTAATTTTTTTTCAGTTAATATTAAAAATTATAACTTTTGTTTTCAGTGCTACCACAGACAGTATGTCTATTAAAAATTGATTAATTTATCAAAAATTTTTTTAATTAATATGTTACATATTTTAACTCTTTTTCAGAGCGAAGATTTTCATTGGATGATCTGTCTGTTATTAAAGATCCTGTAGCAGGAAGTAATGATGATTCAATGTCCTCAACGTCAGATGCTGTCCACAAAACGTAAGACAAAACTTATTCTGTTATAATTATAATTATTATTATTATTATTATTGTAATTTAATATAAATTAGTAGAAGCGGTTTGGCGCAGCGTGAAAGGTTTGGTTTCCCAACCTCGAGGTCGGGGTTTCAATCCCTCGCTGTGCATCTCGCTTGTGTCCTTGAGCAAGGCACTTTATCTGCATTGCTTCTCTCCACCCAGGAGTATAAATGGGTATCTGGTGGAGTTGCCTGCTCCTGCGCTGAATACAGCAGCAACACTTAAGCATGTGGATCCAGGGACAGAAGCGCTTCGTATCCCCAAAGAAAGGCGCTATATAAATATATATGAATATGTTGATTATTTTTATTACATTATTATAACAAAATAAAATTTATAAATATATTGCTCTTTTAACGATAATCATTATTGATGATGCTTTCTATAAACATCATCAATAATGATTATCGTTTATCAAATTGATTCCATTTAATATCAAAATCATAATACCGTAAATCCTTGAATAGAGGTGCAATGGGCTTAATCTCAAAAAGAAGCCCATCTCGAATCGAAGGTCCCTCTAGTTTGCAAAAGCAGCTTTAAAAAGGAGCTCATGTGCTTCTTTTCAAGATAGCATGGGTTTTTTTTTTTACATAGTACAGTACATACACTGTACATGAATTTCAAAGAGACAAAATAAATTCAAACCACGCTTGGTTTATAGAGTAGTTTAAGTGATTGAATGCCAGTTAATGCACTCCATGATACAGGTTAATGTTACAGTGGCCCTATTTATTGTTTTATTGTATTAATTCCCAAAATGTACAGCGCCCTCTCTTTACTTTGCAAAAGTAGCATTGAAAAGAAGCCATAGCGAAAAAAAGCCCATCCAAAGTTCACAAAAAAAGAGAAGGCGGCCAAGGATTCAATTTCAGGTTTTATGACAGTAGGACCTTTAATTGGTTTAGTAGAATTTGATTACTGTATTGTGACCTGTGTATGTTTTCTAGAGTATATTCTATATTCATAGTATTTGGTTACAATTGTACAGTTGTATAAAGGGTATTTCACAACATATACAAGTGCATTGAAACTTCTGTATAATACACTACATCAAGTCCGATTACATTACATTACATCTATTCAATATTGTGCCAAATATTTGTGGCAAAGACAAACCAAATATTCACTTAATAATAAATAATATCTCAAATTTATATGGCGCCAATTCAAAACAAGATCGAAAAGCCACCGGAAAACAAATACAGTAGGTCTTAGGCTGTGACTTAAAGTTGTTGTGACTTAAAGTTGACTTGTCGCAAATCGTGTTCAGAGATAATGGCCAAAGCATGCTGGAATGTCAAAATTTTGGAAATCTATTTTATTGCGCTAAACTAACCTTTATATATCTATACATCATGTTATGCTGTTATTTTCCCCATTTTCAATGTTAAAACAACAATTTTTAACATTTGGTGATAACCTTTACCTGAGAAATGCACGAAATCATAAACTTTGAAGGTTAATTTCTCAAATATTTTTTTTTAAACAGCTTTATGTTTAAATGCTTGTAACTTCTTAAGGAAATGTTGGATTTAAATGATTCTTTTACCATTTTATAGCTCTCATTTTATTGTTTTAATAAATAAAAAATCGATTTTTGCGACCAGTGACTGGTTAGGCTTGTCTTTGCCACATATGTATTAATTTCTGTTCTCAATATTTATTATTTTGATCCTTTGAGTGCATAAAAACATCTCGTAAATTATTATATTAATATTCCTTAGGAGAGACTTTTTTAGACCATTTTTGGCCAATTAGCGCAAACGCAACTCCACGAAAAGATGAAAATTTTAGAAAAAAATAACAGTTTTTCTTTAGTTTTATTACGCCCTTTGCTGCCTTAAAATCTTCAAAAAGAAATTTCTTCCTAATTATATAAATTTAAAGACTTTAAACACTTTACATTCAACAATAAAATTTAATTTTTATTTTCTTCTCCATCTCGATGTTTTTGGCAAAACTATTTGCTAAATAAAAATCAAAATTTTATTTTAATTTTTTTTCCACCCTCTGATGATCTTTAAAAAATAAGTTCGCAAAACAAGGAATAAAAAATTTCTCGCCTCAACAACAATATAGTAAATATATATTTGTTCGTTTTTCTTCATCAATCAATAAATTTCTTCTTTTTTTTTTAGTGATAAAGTGTGTGATTCAAACGATTTAGTGCCAGTGTCATTACAACCAACACCTAGACGTCTTTTTGGAATTGGGGCTTATTTCCAACCCCCTCCTGAAACAGTGCTACTCCCAAAAGACACTGCTAAAGCCTATAAACTCACAGATGAGATTACAAAAAGAGGAATAACTGCTTCTGGAATTAAAGCAGGTGACAGAAGGAGTATAGACTCTTCAGATAGTAGTTGCAATAAAAAGGCCCCGACGAGAGCGGAGATTAATATCTGGACGCCTTCTGGAATGTAGTGTAGACCAGCTCTATAATTGTAGACTTACCTACAAGTCTCCCTTGAATTAAAGACCACTTTTGGTCTTCAGCAGCTTTGGTCTTTAACCAGAATGATGAAGATAAAAGACATTTGTTAATTTGGGATCACAGAAAAATGGTCTTTAATTGGAGGTGGTCTTTAATAGAAGTAGTCTTTAATTAGAGGGAGCACTTTACTGTAGTTATGATCTGTATACAGGGATAAAAATCACCATTTTGTAAACCATATTTATAGAGGTTGACCGTTCTAGCATATCCTAGGAGGTTGGCTGATAATATTCAGGAGGTCCTCTTAAATAGATGAAGTAACTTGATGCTTTATCAAAAGTGGAGATTGGTTTTAGTCATCAGAAAAATCCTGTGCTGTTACTTACAGGATTTGAACACAGGCAAGCTATCTTATGCTGGGCACCGGATCGCGCGCACAACAGACGCACGCGCAACGGATTGTTTTTAAGGACAATTCGTTCAGACTGCTACCGACAGACGGCGTTGCGTCGTCTATCACAAGGAGCGGAGTTGGATTCATCGTACGACATACGATGCAGTGCGTACCCGGCATAAACTACCAAACTACATCATCACATTTCTGGGTATAATAGGGGATGCCCCAACATATGGGTTGGCAGAATTGTTAAAAGATATATATTATCCCTTGCATCTTGATTGACAAAGTCCCCCAATGGAAGTGTTCTACATTATATACAGCCAAAATCCGAACTCAAGTGGAACTTACGCTGTCCCTTATGGCAAGACCGAATCCCTGGTTAAGGCTCACGCGATCACAAATGGAGTCGTGATGTAGTTGCCACTTTAAGTGTTATAGACTTAAAATGAATTGAGATTATTAAATTGTTTGTAATCAATCCAATATCCATGCGATTATCAAGATTGTTCAGAATAATTTGGGATAATCCAGATTATTTAATGATAATCCAAAATTATTAAGAGTGTGCTGTTTTTTTGTTTTTTTCTTCTTCTTTTTTTTTTTTATCTGTACAGTGATATAAATTTCTATGTAATAAATATTAGAATAAACTATTATTTTTGTCTGTACCAAGTACGGTACTCTATATGATAATTGATTATAAAGTTGATGAGATGTCTATTCCTTTTTTTGAATTCAGAAATAGAGCTTTAAAATTGGATCATCTAAATGTGTTGCCTGAAAGGCATTACTGTATAAATATTGATATTTAATTCTATACAGCATGGTGCTCTAAGCCTAGTTGACCTTAAAATAGTTAACCTTGCAAAGTGTGTCTAAGTATAGAGACTACTCGGGTAAAATTGGGTATAATAAGGCAATTATATAACTATTGCAGAGATCTTGTCACACGTTCATCAGGTCGATATATCCATAAGTCTAAGTAGTAGTTTTTACGATGTGATAAAATCTTTTAATGAATTCTAATTTCAGAACTCCACTGTAGGTATCTCGAGATTTAAGATTTCCATGGAAACAAAAGAGAAATCATTAAATGCAGAATTTGATTCTGCAACAATTGTTTTAATAACGTTGGTGTTCACTTTAGACACTAATGGTATTTTAAAGACTGTCCATTTGATTAAATTGCACTTTAGTGGCATTGTACCTTGTTGTTTGTTATTCGTAGAGATTTTATTATGCCATGGAGATACAGTACAACAAATTGTGCTGAATTAGACATTACACTACTTCATATGGTTTCGTGTTGGGATTCAATATTTCGACATTAATTATGTCATCATCAGGATGACATAGTGATGATGACATACTTAATGACGGAATATTGAATCCCGACACAATGACGTGCATTTCGACACTGGATTTGATTGGATTTATTCGGTGTAAACACCAAGAAGACTTATTTCCAGTGGGGTCCTTCTGGTGGTGATTGGACAGTACACCGAGAGACAATCCCCTACCCTTTTCCGAAGAGTGTACTGCGTTCTTTAATGTGCACATGGGCCATAGATGCACACGGGACCAATGGCTTAAACGTCTCATCCAAAAGACAGTGCACTATTGTATACTTGTATTTCAGCCCTCTAGGTGAAACACAAGGAGAGGCAGCGATGGGAATTGAACCGTGGACCTAGAGATCTCCACGGTTCGGCGCACACACAGTGTGCCGACTGAGGTAAGCTGCTCTCTCACTACCGGTACTACTATGATACTTGGAGTATGTATTATACTATCTTATCTGAGATTAATCAGCGGACTTTCGGTCATATGGTTTCTGTCTGTCGGAGATGGACGATGTTTAATCCAACTTCATTTTATAGAAGCGGTTTGGCGCAGCGTGAAAGGTTTGGTTTCCCAAGCTTGAGGTCGGGGTTTCAATCCATCGCTGTGCATTTCGCTTGTGTCCTTGAGCAAAGCACTTTATCTGCATTGCTTCTCTCCACCCAGGAGTATAAATGGGTACCTTTGGGGGGTTTGTCTGCTACTGTGCCAATATGGCAGCAACACTTAAGCATGTGGATCAAATAACCAGCAACAGAAGCGCTTTGTATCTGCAAAGAAAGGTGCTATATAAATATATGAATATAAATATAGCATATGTATGCTTATTTAAAAAATATCTGATCAAACTATGCGTGCGACTGTGAAGCACTGTCACCTCATCATAATCAATCCTCGAAAAAACTGTTATATGCCCATATATAGTCATTATTTGCCTATGTATTATGATGTGATGTCATCATGACCATATTTAGGCATATCACATGTTTTTCTCAAATAAATTTGATAGTCTGGACAGACATTATGGAGCTTCTGGTTTGTGTGACGTCTTCAATGTTGAAAGAATTCACTCATGGCAAACAGCGCGTCTTATAATATAATGCAGACGACGCAAAATCATCGATTTTACATGCGCATATAATTCTACGCGAGTGACGTAATTACTTGATACTAATGAGATAGTAAAGTACTATTATTTGTATTACTCATTGACAAACAGATGGTGAGAAAGACACATCCTCTGTTTCTGTAATCAATAGTTCAGGTAGAGTGTTCTTAGTAGGTCACCACTCTTATGTTCTTTATACAGTATTAGTATTGATGACGACGACTATGATGATGATATAGGCCTATTAAGTTCTGCGTTTGAATGGCAGCCAGCAACATGATCTTTTGCACTTTTAACTTGTGCTCTATATATATCCCATATAAAAATAAACTACTGTATGTATTATTTTGTACATAATATTGTACCACTGTTTGATGGGAAATTCGAAGTATATACTTTTACGTAATACGTAATTTTACGTGAATAAAACACAGTTGAGAGCATTGATTTGTTTCTTTTCCCGTTTTTCACATCGCAAGCGACAAGTACACTTGCCGATGGACTTTCCTGCTAATCATCCCACCCCTGCTAATTTCGCATAACACCTTCGCATTTCTCCGAGTATTTAATTTGATAGGGGCTCCAGAAATATCTTGGTGGACATCTGCGGTGGTGGACATATCCTGTCATTCGACCCTATTTCAACCCTTCCTGTTTTACTCATACATGTTTTGGAGTCTTTAGAAGGGCGTCAGCTTTACCCACCAGAACCATCTGTTCTCAATAGCATGGCGTCTTGGTGGGGGACAAGGAGACACGTCCCCACTTTTCAAAGTAAGGCGGAATCTTATCAATTGTCCCACCCCCACTTTTCGCCAATCTTCTGTTGTTAAAACCCCACTTTTCAAAGCGAGTGGTAAGAACAAAAGTTACAAATGACTCGTGCATTTTTTCTGTTCACTTGTGGAGAAAAAAAAAATTATATTTCCATTCTGAAAGTGCCATTTCCGGCCAATTAGGTGCCATAATCATAAAATTTCTTACCTCATCCCCAACCAAGTGGGGCTGAGGTAGTCTACACTACATCTGTAAAGTTCCCTCCCTGGGCCCCCTCTATTTAGAATTCCTGGATCTGCCACAATATTTTGAAAATATAGTTTGGAAATAAATGTAATTGCATTCCTTAAAATCAATTAGATAGCCTATGGCTTATAAAAGGTTATAAACGCCAGAGCTCCCTGAGGTTTCGCTCCCTGGATTCCCACCGGGGCCCTAGGCGGCCCCGCCACCAGTCAAGTCTTAGGCCTGTCTCTTATACACATCTAGATGTGTATAAGAGAAAGGTGTAAACACCAAGAAGACTTATTTCCAGTGGGGTCCTTCTGGTGGTGATTGGACAGTACACCGAGAGACAATCCCCTACCCTTTTCCGAAGAGTGTACTGCGTTCTTTAATGTGCACATGGGCCATAGATGCACACGGGAATCAGTGGCTTGTTTCAAACGAAAAACCCATAAAGTTTATCAGCCTTCAATAAATCACAGATCCAAATATTAAATACTTTTTTTCAATTATTTTCGGTCATCAAACAAAAATAGTAAAAAGTCATAAGTGAAGCAGAAACGTAAATTTGGAGGAAAAACGTCAATTAAGAGAACATTAAAACAACTGAGGCGGATGCGGGATTTTGGCGGAGGGGGTGCATGAGAGACGACATCCACCTTAGCCCCACCATGGTTGGGGCTGAGGTGCGAACATTTTGAGAATATGGACCTCTATGTTCCCGGAAATTGCACTCTCATACCTAAAAAATCAAATCAACAATAAAATACAACAATTATTGTTCCCCGCATCCGCCCCAGAAACTACTGAACAACTGATATGCAGAATCACGGACACAAACACAGTAACCAATGTTCAGCAAGGAGGAAAAGAAGATTGAAAAAAAAAAAAAACATGAACCGGGTTGAAAAATTGAAGTGACAATCGCTTAAGGGAACACATTAAAAAGGGATCTAATATATACAATGTCAAAGTGTAGATTAGGATTAATTATATTTAATCATATAAAATTAATTATTAATTAATTATTTAAATCGTGATGTCATCATTTTACCTCCGATGTAATTTTCCGATCCCAGAGCGGGCAATCGTATTCCAATGGATGTAGCCTAGACCAAGGAATGAGATAACAACGTGATCGACTTATAAACCAATTATTGTAAAGATAATTCGGGGCACTGATTTGAGAATAGCTTCCCGAAGGAGCCATTATTGTAACGAATTATTATAAATAGCAGAGCAGATGGGGAAAACGGTTTATGAACGAAGTAAATGGGAGAACAGAAAACCACTAAACGTTAAAAAGTCGCATCGTCGTCGGCATATGCGATTCCATTACATGTAGAACATACGGTACAATACGACGAGGCGCGCGCGATGGATCGGTTTTAATGACGATCTTTATAGTGTGCCATCGACAATCAGCATACGGGATCATCACGATGAAGCCAGCATAGGCTGCTGGCGAAACTTGTGTATTTAATAATTTAAGTAACAGCAGTCTACAATGCCTGGTGCTACTAGTGTTTTTATTTCATATGTCTACCATGCAGACTAAAGGCCTGTTTACACTATGACGATAACGATCAATGATAAAAACAAAAATAATTTCACGAATCAAATCAAATGGGAAAACAATAAAATCGTAGTAGAAAAAAAAATATTTTATCGTTTTCACCTGATTATGACATCATTTGATCTGATTTGTGAAATTATTTTCTATCGTCTACACGATAAATCGTTGTAAAATCGTGCTAGTGTGAAATCTTATCTTATTTCTTTTATTTTCTATATGAACAATTGCTTTTTAGCTTTTTATCGTTGATCGTTATCGTCATAGTGTAAACAGGCCTTAACATGGCTCCATCTACTATTATATTAACTAAAATAATGAAAGCCGTCTGCTTACTGTCAGTGTCTGGGAGAATCGTCAAAGAAAACGACTCGTCGTCGGGCGCGTTGCGGTGTTCGTGGAATCGCGTCGGCCACAAACGACCGTCGGCGGTGTGTGCCAACGGATATTAATTGGCAGTTACACCAACAAATATCCAAAAAAAAAAACAACTTGCATTACAGTAACCTATATGTCACCCGGACTTCGAGCCACCTCGTCCACCACATACCACGATTTGAAAAAACAAATGATTTAAATACGTGACGTATGGGGGCTAATTTGTTTTCGAATCATCTTCTAGCAGTTTGTTACAATACAGTAAAACCTTGAATAGAAGCCCATCTCGAATCGAAGCGCCCCTCACTCCCCTCCCCCTCTATACATTGCAAAAGTAGCCTCGAAAAGAAGACTATCTCGAAAAGAAGCCCATCCAGGGGAGATCTCCCGGTGTACTGCCCAATCACCACCAGAAGGACCCCACTGGAAATAAGTCTCCTTCTAGACTTTCGTGGGTTATCATTTGTTTTACACCGAATAAATCCAATCCAGGGCTTCTATTCGAGGTTCTACGGTATATTATTTATTTCTTAACTCAGAAGTTATCCTATTGGCTAATCATCACGTGGATATGTTATATCGGTATATTTATTTAGCGCCTTTCTTTTCAGTTACGAAGGGCTTTTCCCTTGTGATTAGGTGCACTTGTTTAATTGTTTACTGTTGTAATTAAATTTGTAGTAAGCGTAACTGTAATCAATTGATAAATTTCGATGATCCTAGCTGTATACAATATAATCGAATTTGTAAACTTAGGCCTATTGTTGTGCAAACCATTCGGCCAATGCTGGTACGAAGTATCTA